TTGGCTCCGACCGGAGCTCCGGCTCCAGCTGGAGCTCCAGCTCCGGCCATCGAACTCATCATTCGGAGTGACCGGACGCAAGTGATGGATGGTGGGTTTGGTAGGACAGAGAAGAAGCACCGATGGAGTTTTGCTGCGGCTGTAGCTGCGGTAGGATGGGAATTAGCCAAGGGAACGAAGTTACCCGGCGGGCAAGAGTTCGGTAAAGGTTTTGTGGAGAGTTTAGCGGTTTGAGTTCCCGGGAAGTTTAGGTTTACCCGAGAATAGTGAGATCTGAAACGTAGGAAGTGACGTGAAATATTGATGGGTGCTGTGGAAAAATTTGGTAGTTTTGATTGCAGTATGAAAATGTGGAATAATTTGGTGCTGAAAGCCGTCTTGAACATAGGATTTTATTCAGACAATTGGAGTGGCGGGTATAGATAGCATCAGATAGGATCTGGTATCGAGGGGGGGGAGGGTTGTGATGAGACCTGAAATTAAATATTTTTGATGGTATTGGAGAGGTTGCGTTGGAGAGATGAGGAGATCACGTGTAAACGCGTAATGAAGGAATTTTTTTGGTAGGAAAGCGAAATCCTCCATCGTATTTCAGGTTAAGTTAAAAATAACCTGAAATACGGGGGGGCAGTTTAAAATTTTAAAAAATTATCCAGAAATAAATAGACTTGTGGTGGTGCAGTGGTGGAGTTTTATGTGACGCGGTTGTGATTTTCAACCAGACGCATCTTTCGCTGTCTGCGTCTCTCCAGTTGGCCGTGCTTTCGGTGATGCTCTCGCCAGTGTTTGGAGTTTTTCGTCCAGGATGGGTTGTGAACGCCATCTCTCGTTGTCTGCGCTCTGCCGGCGCCTCTGATTCTCTAACATTTTGAGATTGCGCAGTTTTTCGGTCACATGTCGGATTTTATTATTTATTATTTGTTATTATCTATTATTGTTGTTATTTATTGTTATTATTATCTTTATTATTATTCATTATTATTTATTATTATTGTNTTGTTATTATCTATTATTGTTGTTATTTATTGTTATTATTATCTTTATTATTATTCATTATTATTTATTATTATTGTTTTATTTATTATTAAAACTAATACTGTTTCTATTATTTAATAATATTATTATTACTGGGTAATTTAGAAAGTAAGTATAAAGTAAGTGTAAAAAGTAAGTATAAAGTAAGTAAGAAAGTAAGTATAAAGAGGTGGTCACGGTTATGCGGTTTATTGAATTTACTTAGTTTGGCGTTTACTTTGTTGTGAATGTAAAATATTTTTTAAAATATTAATGTTTTCAATGTTTTCAGTGTAATGAATTAATTAATTGTCATTTATTATTATTATTATTTATTATATACAATTAAATTGTTAATTCGAATTGGATGCGATATGGAAGCGGCAGACTTTTGGAGTGTATATGAAGCTGTTGAGGTGAGTTGAGGGTGACAGTTTTAGTAATAGTAATTATTATTGTAAATGATGAGAATATTAAGTAATAGTAATAATATTGAATAATAATATTAAATAGTAAGTATAATGTTGAATGATAATAATAATTGGAGAATAGTAATAATAGTAATAATAATAATAATAATAGCGATAATTGTTGTAAGTAACGAAAATATTAAATAATAGCG